ATATATATATATATATATATATATATATTATATATATATATATATATATATATATATATATATATATAATTTTTTAGTAAAAAAAAGCAATAATTTTCCAGCACATAATTATACACATATATGTACAGAAAAATGATATAAAAGGCTTATATTGCAAAGACTTATAGTCTTGATTTCATTCCGCCAGATATTATAATGATTTCACCAGTAATATAAGAAGCATCATCGCTAGCTAGAAATGCAGTTGCACCTCCAATCTCATCTGGCATTCCAAGTCTTTTCATACTGCAACTCATTACAGCAATATCGTGCGCTTCTTCTGATTCATATAACTAAAACATAATAATTTATTTTCAAAATTTTCAATATCTCTTTAATGTTGATTGATTGAAGTGATTACGACAAATATACCGCTTTTGAAAATTTAGTCTTTATTATTCCTGGTGCGATGCCATTTACACGAATTCCATCATTTGCAAGCTCATCTGCAGTAGCTTTAATCAAGCCCAATAAAGCAGTTTTACTAATCGAATATATGCCTATTAACTAAAGAGAAAGAATGAAGTGAGTGAAAGAGTTGATAACAATATTAATATTGTGCTACACATATTTATTATATAAAAGAGTTAAAGTCAAAACATATTTTTTCAGACTTACATTAAAGGGCTGATATCCAGCAATTGAACTTGTGATGATAATAGAAGGTGAGTTGCTACATTTAAGAAGCGGCAGAGACTCCTTCATCAACAAGAATGTACATTTGACATTGATATCAAAAATCTTATCCCATATTTGTTCAGTGCTTTCTAGCACTGGACCAACTGCTGGACTAATGGCAGCATTAGATACTAAAATATCCAAGCCTCCGAAATCTTTTTTAGTCTGTAATTTTTAATTTTGTTTTCAATATATTGATGATTATTATATTTAAACAATGATATGATTTACGAACAACGATTTACCATTGGAAGAAAACTGTAATTCAATTTCTCAAAAATGATGCCAATTTGTTGTATCAACTTACTTTCTCAAACAGATTTTTCCTGTCTTCTGCCTTTCCTACATGGCAGACAGTACCCGCAACTTGTAAACCCTCAGATTTAAGTTTATCTACAGCCTTCTTCACATTTGATTCCTTACGACTACTGATCATGACTTTGGCGCCTTCCTGCGCTAGGCGTTTTGCTATGGCAAAGCCTATTCTGTAAAGATTCAAAACATAACCTAAGTACAATATTCAAAAATAAGTTAATATAATTAGATTTCCTACAAAGGAGAAATAAATGTCAATAAATAAATGTTTTAAAATATACAGATAGCATTAATGCTAAAAAGAAAGTTAAAAAGAAAAGTTTTTTTCACATTACCCTTCTGTGGATGCTGTCACTATCGCGACTTTTCCTTCCAATCGGTTGCATTTTATTAAGCAAGATGTATTACTACTCAATTTTCGAATATTTTGATTGATCGCCATACGTAACATCGTGAAAGACGTGAAACGAATACGTATAGTATTATGTATCATTATTGCATATCATTGCAATCTTGAAGTTTGAACTCTATCTGTAGATATATCATCACATCTTTTATCTTTACACACACACATACACATCACCCCTCCCCCCCCCACCACACACACCATATATATATGTATATACGTGAAGGTTGTTCCTTTTAGCTAAACTTCTTGCATAATTTATCTTTTCTTCTTTTTTTTCTCTATAGTTAAAAAAAATAAGAAAGATGAACTGCGCAACAAGTTCAATTATAAAGAACAAGCCTTGTGACATAAGCATTTTTCTTTATATTTTGTATAATAATAGACTTGTTCTTTTAGCTGAACTTTTGATTCATTTTTTCTTTTTTCTTTTGCATAAGTGTCGGTCCACAATAAGTATTTAATCTTTGAGCCGTAAGAAATTGACTAATCATAGTCGAGTATTTTTTTCATATTCGATTATAATTGGTCAATTTCTTACTTCTTAAAGCTTAAATCACCTATTGTGGACCGACACTAATAAGAGAGAAAAGAAAAAAGCTGAATGGTGTAAGAAGTTCAGATAAAAAGAATAGACTTAAAATAAATAGATAAAGAGAGGGGGAAAGGAGGGAGAGAGAAAAGATATATCCCTTTTATATATATGCAATATAATTATAAAAATAAATAATTTTTCATTTTTTAAAATGATTTATTATAAAAAAATATTTTATATACACAGAAATAATTATACTAATTCTCCACAAGCAGTTATGATGACTTTTTGCGATGGCGTGCCAGCTTTTGATCCACATTTTTCAATTTTTCTAAGTACATCTAATCCACTAAGGATATGTCCAAAAACAACGTGCTTTCCATCCAACCAGTCTGTTCTGGCTGTACACAAGAAAAATTGTGAACCATTTGTATTTGGGCCAGAATTAGCCATCGATATCGTTCCTGGACCGGTATGTTTCAGTTCAAAATTCTCATCATCAAATTTGTTGCCATAGATTGATTTTCCACCCGTACCATTATGATTGGTAAAATCACCTCCTTGACACATCTGTGACGTTTATGTTAAGAATTTTTATTTAAAATTAAAAGACAAATAAAATTATCTAAAATACTCATAAAAAAAACAAATATGTGATAATTTAAAGGATACAAAATCTGGAATAATCCTATGAAAGGTGCTACCCTGATATCCATATCCTTTCTCATGTGTACAAAGTGCCCGAAAGTTCTCTGCAGTCTTTGGTACAATATCTGCTCGTAGCATCATGATAATTCTGCCTATCTCTTGCTTTCCTATACTTATATCAAAGTAAACCTGAGGATTTTGCTTTCCTTTCTTTGGTTGCGCAATATCATTTGTCTTTGTACTATCGTCATTTTTTAATGTCTCGCCTGCATGCTCTTGTAGCCAATTATCATCCGCCCATACCGGTTTCGATGAACCTTCTTTTATCTTTTGTGGCTTAGCGATATTTACCCTTATTGTTCGGCCAAACAGTTCCGAGTCGTTCTGTTAATCAAGATAGATTATTTTTTATGAATTATCATGAGACAAATGTAAACAGAAATGTTATTATTGTTCTTATATGTTTCTAATGATTAGATAAAGAAAAAAGTCAAAGATTTATATCAAAAGAATATTAATATTTTCTATATCCTTTAATTCATTTTAAAGCTTATCAGTAGCTTTTAAGAGCTGACATTTATCAATGAATAATTCGTAAAATTCATATTAATTATCTGCAGCAATAAGTCTGAAAAATTCTCATATATCAGACTGTTAAGTTATCAAACGATTCATTGATGTTATTAATGCTACTTTAAAAATATACCATGTTATCTATAGCTGCAGCTGCATCTTCTGCTGTTTCAAATTCAATAAATGCAAATCCTCTGTGCTTTTCAGATTCATAATCCAATGGTATCTGGACATCAACAATTTCTCCAAAAGGTATAAATGCTGCATGTAACACCTTTTCATCAACTTCCTCAGCCAAACCACCTGAGAAACAAAGTAGAATCAAACTATTAATGTCAAAATTAATTTGCCGTATAATGTTTCTTAATAACAACCATAGCAAAAGTTATTTCTTAAATAAATAAATAAATAAATAAATAAATAAATAGCAATTTGTATAATTTAGGGTAACTTTAATTAATCCAGCCAATTTTCAAATAATATACAATTATGTCTATTTCATTCAATGAGATTATCTTTAATTTCGATTTGACGTACTTTTATTTTTTTCTTAGTTCTAAGAAAAAAATAATAAGTATATTAAATCGAAATTAATTTAGAATTAGAACAGTTAATTTAGAAATAGACATAGACATAATATTATGCTGTTAATATTATATTATTTTCTGAATGAAAGAAAATGTGTGAAATATAAACGAAATTATTAACTTTTTATTGTTTGACGAAAAAGAAGCTTTGAATACAAAACGACAAATTACACAGTCAGAAATCTTGCCATGAGCAATTATATTAATTATACTATAAAATTAATTACCGGTTAAGTTATTCGAAGTTACTATTAGGGTTAAGTTACGCCAAGGTGTATTAAATACTTTGGACTATCAATTTATACGTGCCTACATAAATGGTCCGCTTCGTGTTGCTGCTCATGTTCACGTGAAAAAAACTTTTTATTTTTCAATGCGATATCCAATGTCACAAACAACCTGATAAGCGTGTTGACCGAGGGACGACGTCGACGCATCGGCAGCCACGGACACGATTCGCGCCGCCGAGGATTTATAAGTCAAGCGCGATGCGATCGACGGTGAGAGCGCGTCGCTTACATAAGCTCATTCTGTCAATCGTGCTTTCAATTGACAACATTACTCGCGAATGACTGGTCGGTCGTTAAATGAGCGATACGTAGTACTGTCGTCAAATAACCTGTGAAGAGTAAGTGCTGGAGAAACTTTTAATCATATACCTGCGCCAAAATGAACTCTTCTTCTTCAAATTATAAATAGATTAACAATTAAAGATGAACTTGCGATTATACAAGTATGTGCTTCGTACGCGGAAAAGAAATGTAATCATAACGTATTATAATTGTATTGATGAGAATGATTTGATCTATATATCGTTATATATAAGGAGACAATTGTGGAAGATTGAATGAAAGTTGAAATATATATTGGAATTGACGCAATATAAATTTATGCATATTTTTATTTGTATCAGGAAATTTTTAATTATTTTTTCTTTTTATTGTATATCTTTTTTATTTATAGAACATCTGGTCACTTGTGAGAGAATGCTTAGGACAAAGTTGTTACAACGGTGCTTGACGCATCATATGCCTTTGAGCTATAGAGCAATGCATCTCTTGAGGAATAATGCATATATTAATGGGAAATGGATAGGCGCCAATAGCAAACGGACATTTCCCATTTACAACCCAGTTGACAATACTGTTATTACTCATGTTCCTGATATGAATGTTGCTGATACTCAGGTAGCTATTGATGCTGCTGTCAAAGCTTTCGAATCGTTCAGTAAAACCACAGCGAAAGAAAGGAGCGATTTGCTTAGAAAATGGTACAATTTGATGGTCGAGCATTCCGAGGATTTGGCTCTTATTTTGACTAAAGAAAATGGAAAATCACTTGCTGAATCTAGAGCAGAGATCAAGTATGGAAATTCATTTATTGAATGGTTTGCGGAGGAAGCTAGGAGGATTAAAGGAGAAATACTGCAGGCACCTGTATCGAATAGAGAATTGTTTTTGTTGAAACAACCAGTCGGAGTAGCTGCTTTAATCACACCATGGAACTTTCCACATGCTATGATTACCAGGAAAGCAGGAGCCGCACTCGCTGCTGGTTGTACTTGTATAGTAAAGCCATCCGAAGACACTCCGTTGACGGCATTGGCACTAGCTGATCTAGCGAAACAGGCGGGCTTCCCTGCAGGAGTCTTAAATGTACTCACTACGAGTATCACGAATTCCGCAGCGGTCGGCAAAGAGCTGTGCGAAAATCCGAAGATAAGAGTGTTATCATTTACCGGTTCTACAGTTGTCGGAAAGATTTTATATCAGCAGTGTGCTTCAACTATGAAACGGCTCGGTCTCGAATTGGGTGGTAACGCACCATATATTGTATTTAAATCCGCGGATGTAGATTTAGCTGTAAACAGTGCCATGGCGAGTAAATTCCGCAATACTGGTCAGACCTGTGTCTCAGCAAATAGATTCTTTGTGGAAGCTGATATTTTCAATGAATTCGTCGAGAAATTCGTGGCGAAAATTAAAAATGATATTAAAATGGGAGACGGTTGTAAAGAGGGTATTACTCATGGGCCACTTATCAAAAAAAGTCAATTAGATATGGTAAACAGTTTGGTAGAAGACGCGGTTCAAAAAGGTGCTAAGATACATTGCGGCGGAGGTCCATTGCCAGGTCTCGGACCGCTGTTTTATGCACCCACTCTGTTAACAAATATAACTAAAGACATGCAAATTTACAACAAGGAAATCTTCGGACCCGTGGCTGTAATCAATAAATTTTCCAGCGAAGAAGAAGTATTAAGGCAAGCTAATGATACACCCGTTGGTTTAGCCGGATACTTTTTCTCGCAAGACATATCGCAAATATTTAGGGTTGCACGCAAATTAGAAGTCGGCATGGTAGGTGTCAATGAGGGATTAATTTCATGTGCAGAGGCTGCTTTTGGTGGAGTGAAAGAATCTGGTTTAGGAAGAGAGGGTTCTAAACATGGGGTTGAAGATTTTCTTGATATCAAATACGTATGTGTTGGCAATCTTAAATATTAAATATACAAAATTATACATTTTGAAGAACAATCACTATTATTCGATTGTTACTAAAAATCAGCAATGGACAATAATAGATTATGTAATTTAATAATCTATTATAATAAATAGTTATAATTTCCTGTTAATAAACAGAAAATTAGTGCATATATGTTCTAGAGACTGTAATTCTTGGCTATAATTGTTTATATATGACTCCATTAATTTTATTTTTAATAATTTATATATTTTTCTATTATACAGATGTAAGTTCTTTTGTAATAATAAACATTGAAAATAATTTATTTTGTTAATTGTAAATCTTGAATTAATTTTTAAGACTCAAGCAGCTTTATTAATTTGCATCATGTACATTTATTAAAATTTATATTTAACAATTTATTATTGTATATGTTTATTAATTAGATTATTAATTTTTTAAAGAATGTAGTATAATTTAATTATAATTTAATTATATTATAAAAGTATTGTTTTTTTTTTACATTAATCTCTGTTTCTTCCTATGTATAGATTTTACATTTTATATGTATATCACATAACATACAGTACAAAACAAGTCTTCCAAATTTTATAAATTGACTACAGTATGTAAGAAATGTCTATAAGGGACATGAATACATTTGCTCCTACACTTATATTTTTTTCTATAGGTGATATATATTTTAGTTATATTTTATAATTACGAGAGGAATTCTATGGAATATTTTAAACAATATATATAAGAATAAAATATTAAACAATAATAAAAGAATAAAATATTAAACATATAGAAATACATAAGTGTATAATTATAATTATATCACTACATAATTATCATATTATAATTATATAATTATAATAATAATAAATATGTAGATGTTAATATCCGGCGTACACAGATATCCCATACTTTTTTCCACTTATATCATTTCTTTAATACATTTATTTTATTAGCATATTCTGTTATTTAATTGTCAATTTAATAAGTATCAAACTATGTTCAAATTCATTTGAAGTTACAATAAACAGAAAACTTTCATTAAACCTAGTTATATTATTATTATTTAATTGTGTAATTTTTATTCATATATATTTGTTCATATAATTTAAAAATTATAAATAAAATTATAAACATTATATTATATATATTAAAACAAATAATATGAATTTCTTTGCTTTTTTGTATATACAATTAAAAAAGTATGGTATAACTTATGATGTTTTGCTTTTATCTACAACTGATAATCCGATAAAAGTCTTAATCTCTCTGCTGCTCAAGTGTGTAATTCCGTTATAACTGATAACATCTACAATCGCGTTATTTAAAAATGACAATTTTTTATAGTGTCGCTTTGTAATGGATAGGTATTTGCATAATTACATGATCATATTTTAGAAATAAAGATGTATTCACATGATGTAATAGTAAATATAATACATGAACAGTAAAACATGTTACATAGATGTTATTAATGACAGCGTTATAACCAGAATAAAACAGCAGTAAGAATGTCAGCAATTTGTCAGTCCATGTTTTTTAATATACCTTTCTCTGGCTTCTTGTATCATTTTAGTTTTCTTTTCCTGGAAAGAGGTAATAACGAACATTCTCTCCTTTGCTGAATTTTGTGAACCACTAGACAATATTACGGACGATTGAGCTGGCGGATTGGGCTCCGGAGTATAAGTAACTATGCCATCGAGAATATTGGCGATTGTAACATCGACATTTCGAGTTTTCACTATAAAAAGCAGATAAAAACAACAGATGAAAAACAGATTTTAAAACAATTGCATTAAAAAAATCATAATTATCATACAGTAAGATTACAAAACACAAAATTAATCAAGATTTCAGAAGATGCGTACTGAGATCTCGTAGAATCACATTATGTGGGACTAATGGAAGTACATCTCTAACTTGGTGAACCATTCTTTGTATCTCTATGCTATGTATAACTTGTGAGTTTGGCGTATTTCTGTTAGGACGTGCGTTACTGAGAATTCTCGTGCGATAGCGCTTCTCGTATTCTGTTTTATCTGATACAGTATGAGAACACGTCTGTAGTCCTAGAGTATCCGCGATATCTTTCTCTACTTCTCGCACAAGTATCTCATGGTCTGGATTTCGTCTGATTTTCAGGTACTTGAGAATGAAAATGGTATAGGGTACAAACATAAACCAAAATACTTCTGTCCACCATGTTGAAGCCAATGAGGTAACATGCACAGGTACAACTTCTGATCTTAATGCTTTAATGGCCACTGGCTGGACAGATGTCTCTATACTGAATGGCCAGGAATTGAATTTCAATAAAGCAACTTGACTGTTAGTCGTACCAAATTCAGGCTGTATAGCTATGCTATACATGGAGGTGGAAAGAAATTGCTTTATATTGGCAATTAATGTCTCCTTATTGGTCATATTCATCTTTTGTAATCCCAATACATTACTCAAGGCAGTAGGTAGTTCCCAAACACTGGGAATCAATGTTTCTGTCGCGCAACGGAGTGCAAAGTGATCCAAAACAGATACATTATTGGCAATGATTATCCTCGACTGTTTGTCTCTGGGTTCGCTTTCAGCATCAATTTTAACTATGATGCCAAAAGCAATTCTGATGCCATAACTTAAAAATGTTCGCAGAAAATTGCAATCGGGTAGTAATGATGCAAGAAGCCAAAGCAGCAACACCACTAACAATCGTAGTGACACTAATATAAATCCTAATGGTGAATATAAGACAACAGGTAGAAAGCGCCAACCGCTAGGAAACCTAAATTTACAAATACAACATAATTGATTAAACTATGTTTATAACACTTTGTATTAAATTTGGATGATAATTATAATAATAACTTTAATTTCAGTCCTTATTTTTTTAAATAAGAACCAAAATTAAAGTTATTTTTTATTATAATTTAATATATATGGTGAATTTCCACATATGATCAAGAACAACCCTTTCATTTATACGAACACTTTTAGCAGTTTTCAATGAAAGTTTACGATAAAAATAATGTAATTAGGCAATTATGGCGAAGATCTCTCGCGATATTTGAGGGAAAAAAATCATCTCACCTGTTTTTGTTAAATAAACACTGGATATCAATTTGTGACATCTCTTACAATAAACATCTGTCATTTAAAGATACAGTACTCGTAAGTTGCTCGTGTTTTCTCGTTAATATTGAAGCCGTTAAGCCAAATATCATCCAGATAGCAACACGATTATTATTTGATCCTTTTCTCACATACTTTTCAGTAACCTCCCAATTGATGCGAATTTTCTTTTTCGTCACTGTCTGCAATCAGCTGTTCTGAAATAGTATAATAATACTAGGGATTTTTTTACTTAAATTTTGGCGGGAATTACAAACGTCTAGAATCGTTTTGCGAAACTGTTTAGCTCACAATATAATTACAATTTGAAGGAAATATACTAATTCGAATAATTTCTAATCAAATGTGCAAATTGTAGAGATTATACAATGTATTATCTCAATATTATTGAATATATTTTCCATTTATTTTTTGTCATGTTTAATAACATATTTAATGTCAGATACACACACACATACACACGCACACGCACACACACACACACACACACACATATATATATATACACGTACACGTGTGTGTGTGTGTGTGTTGCAAAATACTTGTATGTACATATATACATATGATTAAATATTTACCCATTTTCTTTGGATTGATAAATTTATAAATACAATTGTTAGTTTTTTACCAAACGGAATTTATTTTTTCAACAAGTATATTTTCCATTATATGATAAAGAAACTTATATAGAAAAGATTTGTATTACAGAAAGAAGAATTATATTTAAAATAACATCATAGATTAGATGAAGTTGTATGACGAGAGAAACGCCGATCAGCAGGAATAATACATAAACTTTCATAACAATGAAGTCACATATTTTACAGCAAAAACTAAAAATTTCAAGACGACGCGCAGCATGCTTTGTGTAATAATTAATGGGATTCAATATTTGTATTATTTAATTGCATTATCTATTAATATAATTAATATATACACTTGTATCACACACATAGTCTCATTACTATAAGATCCATATAAACCCAGAAATTTATTTGAAACAATTATTTTTTTTTATATTTTCGATACAGATGTTTGCATATGTAGAAAATAAGAAGAAATTTAAAAATAATTCGTACAAGCTTATATATGGGCTTTAAAACTTACTTTATGCGTATTTGGAATAATATGAACTAGTTTGCACTTTGATTCTATCTGTGTGCACCTGATAATGTGATGCCGCGTAATGTAATGATATAAAGCATGTATGTATATGTATATATATTTATATAGAGCATATTCTTTAGTCAGTAAGTTGAAAATAAAACTCGGGAGCCCATAGCTATTGCCCCTATGCTTGTACATATAAAAGTGCAGAGGAATGATTCCTCATAAAATACAGGCTCTCTCGAGAGATTTCCTACGATCGTTTATCTTACCTGAGGAAAGCGTCGCAAACGTTTGCTTTCTTCTGAATCACGAAACACGTTCATATGTGTATGCGTATTATATAAGAATGTATACATGCGTTATTATCATAAACAATACAGATCTGCATACGCACATATGGCCATGTATATATTATATATCTATCGTTCTTGTCTTAAAAGGATTTGAAATGTCACATTACTATAAACATTTGTTCTAAATAGATTACATGACATTCATTTCAGTGGGATTGATTTCCATATCATTGTTCGTTCGCTGTTATTTCGGGGACTACATGGGACCTTCTATCAAACTGATCTTCATTGTACAATAATAAATGCTGCGTCCCAGACATAAGAGCGCCAACAAAAATGCACCTTAAAACATATTAGAATATTATGAAATTAGAAAAAATCAGAAAAATGGGAAAAATGTATAAAATACTGCACTACACAGTATTATTGAATAAATTATCGACAAATCGTAAAATTGAGGGCATTACTTATACCTACCAACATAAGCTACATAGATACCACCATTCGTTTTTACATATTTATAGGTCCCAACCTATATAATTATATATGAAGTAAAATTAATATCACAGAGAAATCACTAATTGAATATAAGAATCAAGTTTGAATACTTGCCGTTACTCCTATAGCAATTACTAAAGCTATAATTCCAACAATAACGAATACAATCCCTCTTCCTCTGGCAAAGTCTGGCCCAACGGAAGATATTTTACGACAATGGGGACATCGAGCCAAAGCATTATTTAATGTGTTAAACTGTAAAAGATAATATATTAATTAATGAAGACGTAAAAATCAATGAAACAATAATTTCACTATCTTTGATAATTTACCAAGAATGTGTCATGGCAATGAGCACAGCCTACCCTGCACATGCCTGGCATAGATAGAACTGGCGGTGTAATAGGACTTGGAGCCAGATTAATTATACGTTTACAATTTGGCCTGGGACAGGCAATACGCTGCGAGGAGCTCTTGCATATCAGCAGGCAATTGCATGGACATCGTACATATTTCTTTCCAGGAGGAGCATTCCGTATAGGCTGCAGAAGAAGAAAAAAACAATTACATTAACATTGTCATGTATTAACAAACCAAAAAAGAAAAAAAGAATAATTTTGAAAAACATACTGTGGCTTCATTACACTGACAGCATTTAACGACATGTTGATCCCTCTTGCCAGAGATATCTATCATCGCTTGACAAACTCTGCAGGTGACCATCGGCATGCCACCCTGGATGGCAGACTGGTACGGCGGCGGCAGCTCATCCGGCCCAATTGTGGAGACGGTGTGCACGGTAGATTGCGTCTCATCTGAAATGATAGCGAGCGATGACACTTCCTGGAGACGATCCACGCGAGAACGACGGGTCCGACGGGCCCGTCGGGAGACCCGCACATTCGTGTCGCATCGCGTCGCGTCGCGTCATATCACATCGCGTCGCGTTGCGTCTCGTCGAGGCGCGTCCGCGTTTCGTACCGATCGCATCGCTGGCGTGCGAGCTGTACGTGACGTTTTCATTCTTCAGCAGCGGCTGCCGCTCGCTCTCCTTGCCGTCTCCCATGCCAAACGATGGTGGGACCAACTCGCTGCCACGGCACCACGGACACGGTTCGCTTCTATTGTTTGACAGAACGGCTCCCGGTGCATCGATGACAAGGATGACAAAATACGAATCCCCTCTGTCGTCCGCGATGTTGCGCGAACATAGAAGGAAAATCACAACTTGCCGCACAGCCTTGCGCTTTCTTTCGTCCGCTATGCACAGTCCGCACTTTAGAGCGAGATGGATTATGGGGTCAGCGAGAGAAAGAGACAGAGAGGATAAATGATAATTTGTTCATAAAGCGCAGAAATAAGGTGTACGACGCAGCGGAAGAGAAATAGACATAAGTACTCGTCCAAACGCGTTTAGGAACGTCGGTGACATTTACGATTTTCTTCACGTTGGCTGCACTGCACCGGATGATGTCGATATGAGTAACACGACGGAATGCACATTGAGATTATGGTTATGAGAGGACGGGGCTCGGGGCTGATTTTTTTTAAACAGCGAAGTACCCTCTAATTCCGAGTGAATTTACGTTGATTGTCGTAGCGGCGGTGGGGTCGACGAGGCATTCGTGTTGGTTTTTCGATTTATTTAGAACGATTTACGACAATTTACGGGGATTCATCCGAGGAACACCGTGATTGTTTTGCGTGAACAACGCATGATCAAACAATCGACGTCGCACACATGCAGAAAACATTTACATTGTATTGATGTTTATAATATAATATAATGGAGGTTGTGAAACATTTGTGGAACGTCAATCAATTTATGACGAAACTGAAGAGTCCACTTGTTACAGATTTACAAATATTTTACATGTAATTTTTTATATTATTTTATATTAATTTTTTATATATTTGACTTATTTATAATATGAAACAATTTGAACTATAAGTATATTAATAAGAAATATTTTTCAATAGTGCTCATTATTTTTATTTAATATTTTCAAATATGTATAAAATAAATATGTATTAAAATAATTATATCATGATCAATTTTATAAGTCTAGAAAAATGATACATGCTTCTGTATATTACTATATTACTAATATATAAAAAATTTTTGTAATTTTTAGGCAGAAATGTAAAAATCTCGGCAATTGCGTAGAGCTACCACAGCAAAATTTTGGGCCATCAGTAATGTGTTCGCATTGTGGATCACTTTGGAATACAGTGGATCATCAGGTTCGTGTAGCAAGTAGCAGAAAAATGTCTAGATCGGTGAAAAAAATTGTACGACAAATGAATGAAAATCCAGATCAAAAGATTCCAAAAGCTCGTGCAAGTTTGGTACAGAAATCTATAAAAAATGAGATGAATAAACTGGTCATTAAATGTTCTATCTGTTCCAAGAACACCAAATTGCCATTCAAGAAGGAAAGCCGCTTAAAGCCGGTCAAATTGAATAATTCTCAGATGGAAACACCACAAAGTAATCGTAAAAAGAAAAAGAAGAAATCTAAGGATAAAACTGCTGGTTTAAACATCTCAGGTTGCATGCCTATATCGCATTTACGCAAGAAAAGCAATGAGAGTATAGTATCTACTACATCATCGGTAGTAACATCTAAAATAATAAATAAAAAGTTATTTAATTCCTCTAAAAAATCTAAAAAATTGAATGTAGCACGATTAAAAAATATTATGAAAAATAATACGTCTACAAAAAGAAAAAGTTTGCATAATTTTTTGACAGAATTATATTGAAATCTAATGAAATTGAAATAAAATAGAATGTATATGTATATATTGTAAATATTTTTATAATAATCCACAAAGATATTTGTTAATAAATAATATGATAATTTAAAATTAAAATATGGTCTCTAAATTTAATTATTGAAAGTATAATTAAAATTCTGAATTTTTAGAAATTCTAAAGATTTATGTTTGTAATTAGTTTTAAAACATACAAATGTATGAGTATATTTATTTGTTTGCAAAACAAGTATTTTATGTTATTAATATAGTATCGTAGTAAATATATAACGTATTATTTAAAACGATCTTTAAAAAAAAATGGGCTATGATATTGGTCTAAGTTTTTAATAAAAAAGACCATCATTGTGTTTTTCATAATTTAAAATATGGATATGTTATTTGAAATTTTCTTAAAATGAGGATCAAGAAACTATAAATATTACTTGCAATTAAAATTAGAAGAAGAAAATTCATTTTCATTTATACTACAATGTTTTTTAATTAAATTGTCTATTTTTTGGAAAACAGTCATATAAAGCAAACATTAAATACATATTTTCAAACATTAATTATATTAACTCTCATTGATAACTATACTCGAGTCATTCATAAAGAAACGTTTAATTGCGGATTGTTAATAAATATAAAGTAGAAATGAACACTATTTTTCCCCGTCAAATTTTTACGAATGATTATAAATACGAATACAATATTAAATTAACATTGATCGCACTGCGCCACGTCAAAAAGTTAAGTTTCTGGTTTTGTCTCGGTTACGACAAAATGATACTCGTAGTACTTTCGTTTTGTGGTCCTACATTATTTTCACTTTGCAGGCTTATGGTCTATGCAGATAAAATGAATGTACTATACAATATACGCTCCGTCACTTATAGCTTCAGATACATGCGTATCCATTTTTTTTTCCGAGATTCTCCTCCGCAGTCACTCCAGTGGAATCTCCTTCTTTACGACCTGCAACATCGGGGTATACTTTATGCACGGTGAAGTTGTAGAATTTTAATGTATTCCCGCGGCACATACCTCGCTCGTATACCTTATTTACTTCGATATCCGCATAAAAAAGGCAACTCACACAGAGGATAGGGAAATCGTTATTTACGCAGTAGGAAGCTGCGAACGGCCGCACGGATCCGCGATGTCGGAATAATGCCCGGCATTAAATTTTTATTTCGTTCTAAATAGCGCATATAAGCGGCATCCGATAGAATTCTCTCAATTTTCTGAATCAAAATTATTATCAAAAACGACGAGTAAAATCAATTGGAGAGCTTTAATTATACATTTAATAAATTCGAATTCGTAATATGTACAATTTACTAGAGAGTTTTAATATTTCTATGTAAAATTAAGCAAAAATGTAGATACAATTGTTTAAAATTAATTAATAATTTATAATTAATTATTGTAAAATTCCACCGAGAATTCACATATAGATCGGGAATATAGATCGGTTAATTAGAATTGGTGTTATAACATCTGGATACAATATTTAACGCATTTTAATTTTTATAAGTTACTCATTTTTATTTACTTACAGTAAACGTATTGAGATAAAATTTTATTCCGTGAAAGAAGGAAAATGTGAAAAACAACAATTCCATATGTTATATAAAAAATTCAATTTTACATAAAATATATTCTCGTTAATTTTTCGTAGCTCATCTATTTTTCATAATTCGCATTTATACATTTTCTTCCGAGCTCAGAAATACATAAGAGCGCGGATAATAATGCAGAATATATCGATACATGACGCAGGTGCGACCGTTCGACAGTGTCATTTGCAGGCGATCTATTCACTTTTACGATTTTCAGCCGGGAAGTTTCGCGTGCACGCAGGAATTCAACTTTCATGCAACCGTTGTGTTAATTCGGTCAGTAGGTCGCGGCAGGAGGTGGCGAGGAGGAATCGGAAGAATCGTCGGAAGAGGAGAGACCGGCGGCGGCCGGTGACGGCGACGAAGGAGAAAGAGAAGGAGAGGAGGAAGTATGTATGTAGAAGATGAGGAGGAATCGTGTTAGTCACCTGAATGCAAGCCTCGAGGTAATCCCGCTCGGACATTTCCTGGTCCTTCGCAGGGGGAACTTTTCCCCGTCGGCGCAACTCTTGCTTGGCGTCGTTCAAGTCAAAGATCGCCACGGGATCCAGCCTGCCCTTGAGCACCAGGCCCGCCAAGTACTCAATGTAGTGCTGCCTGCGGGGGAAAAGTACCCAAGATTTTAGTCAGGCACGCGGTCCCCCCGCTTTCCGTTTACCTCAGCCATATCGTTCCTGTAATGCTCCGGGTCGCGCCCGTACCAGTTCGGGGGCAGTTTCAACCCTGCGCGTCGCACGCACGTTTCGAGATCGTCCACGTTTAGCAAGGGCAGCGGTTCCAGCTGTGTCAAACGGATCTTTCGAACTAGATACTCGACGTAATGAATCCTGGGAGATACACGGAGGATCTCGTTAGCGATCGACCTCGGGGAGGAAAAGTGAGGGCGGGGGGCGAGAAGGGGAAACGGCTTTGCCGCGAGATCGTTTCGAGGAACGTCCGGAATCGCCGCGAGATTGGGAACGATATACCTTCGCTCGCCCCCATATACTCCCCCCCATGTACCTTCAATATACTCGCGCGTGAGCGAAATTCTAAATCGCCGATCGGCGAACGCGTCGCGGAATGCACCATTCGGCGGATCTCTTTCAGAACAGAAAGCTGAAGGCTTTTGATTTTGACGAATTACCGAGGTAACTTTATTCGATACGTGATACTATTCCCGTATAAATTGTGTCGGCTGATTTTGGAACGAAAATACTCCAGTATTTTTTTTTATATATAATCTTAACTGTAATAATTTCTATAAAAGGGCGATCTGCTGTCGCCGTTGCAATTGATAAAATAATAATGATAGAGCTTCTCCAAATATAAACTTCAAATTATTATCTTTTGCTTCTTTTTTTTTATAAAGTCAATTTTTAAGAAATTTATAAATAATTATATATATATATATATATTATGTGTCGAAAACGTATTTTTGATATTTCAAATATCGATCGTCGTGACGGATCTTACCTGCACAGACCAGCGTGGCCTTCAACGACGTCGGAATTGCACACAGCGTCCACGACCCCGGTCGGCGTTTCTTTCTGCAATTGCACTTTGCACTTGCGTTCCCCGACCGGATCTTCGGTGTCGTAATCAACGCCGTTTTCCCTGAGTAACTGTTGCAGCTGCGCCGGCTCCTTGTCACGAAGATAGAAGAGACAATTGCGCGGATGATGGGCGTGTAGGCCCAGTTTGGCGCAATAAGGGCTGACCGTGCATTTCGCCCCCATCATGAAAGCCTTGCCGCAACCGCAGCAAAACTCATATTTACACTGGCTGCACGTGAAATGCATGCAACCTATAAAAATTCACGAGCCCCTTTTTTCAGCGAGCTTCGAAAAATGTCTCTGTGATATGCATATTCGAATAATTTAGAAAAAATATCTCGCCCCATATTTTAAACTCGCTCGCGGGATCGATAAAAAAAATAACGCGGTATTAAAATGGTCCACGTATATTAAGATAATATTTGAAATCAACATTTATTAATTCTTGCATTACCATATTGTTTTTATAAAGTAAAAGCAATACAGCGAATAACTTTATTGCGCGCAGAGAGTTTATATCCTGAAATTTTTATTTAGTAACGGTTTTCTCTTAGAAATATTTAACGGCAAAAAAGAAGAAATGCCATGAAGGAGCAACTAAATCGTTTTTTTTATATAAAAAAATACAGATTAAATTAAACACTTAAAATATTGAGAGACATAATAAATAAAATTTATGTCACGATTAAAAAATTAAACTAACTATCAAAAGCAAAATTATATTTAAAAATAAATAATTACCTCCTCGAGACAGAGAATAACGGAACTTGCACTTAGGACAATCGATGCCGTTGTCAGCCAGATGTTTAGCCAAACCTGCGGCTTGATTGTCGGGATCATTTTCGTCCTTCCAAGCGGCAAATTTCTCGCATGAGATCCCTTCGTGCTGTTTTTCCCACTAAGAAACAATAAATAGAAAATAAATGATTATAATATCCTCATTTAACATAACGTTATTAGAATTATAAATGTATTATATACCGGTCTTCGACAAAAGGCACAGGTGACCGATCGACAATCGGGACAGATTAAACGCTTGTGGTGAGGATCGGCGTAAAATCCGCTTGAACACTGGAAAATAATAAATAATTTTTCTTATAACATAACTAATTTAAAGATTGCGATTAAATAATTACCTGAATGCACCACTTAAAATTCGGATCCTGCATCAAAGTTCGGTCTCTGAGCTTCCTTTGGAAAAGTTCGTGAATCGGCGGATCCAGCAGAGTCTTCAGTTGGATGTCCAAATTACTAAAATACTCGAGAATTTCGTCCTCGCTCGCATCCTTGAGATTAGGCTCTTTGCAAAACGGACAAACGGCATCCGTGATGTTCCTGTCGCTGATCTGAATGGTAAAATAATTCTTTGCGCATTCATTGCAGCAACGATGTACACACTTCAGCATGGACACCATCTAATTGAAAAAACATTGACAAAAAAAAAAACAGTTGAAAAATTATGATATTTATTTCCCGCAAGTGCCTTTTGATTATTCCGATCATACAAGATAACATTTGAGCAAAGTAAAATTTACAAGATGAATAAATAAATCCCAATAATTTTTTATTTTATCGTTTAACCCGACTTATTTTTATCAAAAGTCGCATTTTCCTTCCGGAGTTAATCGAGAGAGTTTTTTTTTTATTTTTCTTTTTTTTCTTTAATCTTTATTTCTTCAGATTCGTGACAACTGGATACTCACTTGACTCATTGCAAAACGACCGGTGCACAGTTCGCACTCCTGCTGCAAAAAGGCCAACGCCGATTCCACGCTGGAACATTCTTTCGCGGCTTGCAGTGCTTCGGCGTCCCCGAACTTGAGGGCCAGCAAACTAGCGGCGATCTCAGCCTCATCATAATTCGCGGCCCGACCTTCCGCCAAGAGACGACGTGCTATTCTCTGCACACGTGACGGACATAAGATCGCTCCAATATCGGCACGTACGCAATTTTCACATATCGCATAAAAAGAAAATCTTATGTCCTCGTCTACAAATCTCGATCTAACGTGGAATACTTGAAATCTGTCATCTATCAATGTAAACACTGGTGCTACTACTCACGATAAGTTCAAACGTGTAACTTTTCTATTTTAAAGCGGCATTTTAAAGCGAAATCATGAGCTAATTGTTTTTCGCTAACTGCGATTCGCATCGCGAAGAAAAATAATATAAAAAAAACTACTTGAAGAAAAGTAATATATAAAAAAAATATAATATTCTGTTGTTTATTAGCTATCAGCGTTTGAGAATACTTTACGAATACGACCAAGAAAGTAGGAAGTAAAATCTCTGTCATGCAAGAGAAAAGGAAGTAGACCGCGCCAACGTCTAGAAACGAGCTCTCTTTCACTTGAACGAAATATAAGACTTTCAAGAAATATAAAAGTCTCAGAAGCTACCGAGATGAAACGATTTAATTCGTATCTATGACCGACGCTTATGCGTATGCAGAATGTTTTAAATGTTTAAATGAACGGAGAATATCTCATAATTGCCTAAGCAATTAAATGCGTCACATTTGATACAGCGCATACGCATATTTGATATAACATTTTTCTTTTCTCGACAAACAAATAAATTAGTCACAGCACGATACTTACCTTCGCGTTAGCTACATCTTAATGCGTCACAGTTAAATGATCAACCAATTAACGCGCGGTTAGAACATTATAGGAGAACACACTGATTCGTCGCGTTCGATCCCATTTCCCACCCACTCGGCATTTCCGAGCTGTTTGTAGACATTGGCCTGCCAATGATGGAAAAGGCCGGTTCTTGGCGACTCGATCGTTCGCGAGGATTTTTTTTTGGCAACTGACGTGTCTAACGAGGGGGTCGTGTGTCACTTGGCAACTCTCGTCTACTGACCTCCCGCTCCGTTTTGGGAGAGGTTCCTCGTCTCTTGCGCCCGATGCTTTCCACGTGCGCCCTTTCGGCATTCTCTTCGCCCTCGAACCGACGGATGCAACTGGCTACGAGGGAAAATCGTTTCTTGGACGCTCTAGCTCGATCCACCCCCTTTAATGTGTCATCTCTCCCGGCTTTGACCTCTTTACTCCCCGTACTTGCCCTTCGGCCTACCTTCGCGCGCTTTACGCTCATGGCTACTCTCAGTGTTTTTATCGCATCGTTCTGCACTGTTGACTGATCTCTCTTCTCGATTTCGCTCGCGTGTTCTTCAAGCTTGTCCTCATTCTTCTTTGAGTCGTTCACTTTTGACCGGATATCTTCCTTAGGTTTTGTACTTTGTCCGAACCTCGTTGAGGATGCTATCTCTGAATCTATTACAGCGATATTAGAATTCGCTTTAATATTCTGAGAAACCTCTGGTATCTTTTCATTGATCCCCGCAATTATTTCCGATCGAGATGATTCGGTCTTCACTTCAGTGGCAGCTTCCGTTGATGCTTTAAAATTTTTTCCTTCATCTTCCCGCGTGACCTTAGGATCGCTTTCTGTTCCATTCAAAATGTTAATTTCAATGTCATTTGTTATTTCGTTACGTGTTATATCGTCGATCTCTCTATCGGTTACTTCTACTTGTTTCAAAGTTTCGATTTGCTCATTTGTTTCTTCTCCCTCGGACAGTAGTTCTTCGTACACATCTTCATCCACCGTATCTTCGAGCTCGCTCGACCTAATCTCTTGTTCGTCAATCGAACCTTCGGACGAAATGGAATTATGATCGTAACATTCTGTCTCGTACGAATAAGTGACATCTTCGCATTCCTCGGATTCGCCTGTGCGCTCTTCTTCGGATTCCGATATCTCAGACCTTATCTCATTTAGCGTTTTCTCTAACAACAATTCCGCGTCCGTAAACTCCTCGACGGAATTGTATTCCGAGTTATGATCAGAAATGTACTTCGCTGTTTCTGCACCTTCGTCCTCTTCAGAATACTCGGGACCGGAGCTGAAAGCATCCGAGCTTTCCTCGATTGCATTTTCGACTTCCAATTGTTTGCTAAGATCCGCGGACGGATCGTTATGCGTCAAGTTCGACGCTTGTGAATTCTCGTTTAATGCCAATTCCGATTCTATTGACTTAACTTTCGGAATCTCTTCGGTTTCTTCACTTTCCATGGTACTATCTCTAGCATGATTCTCCTCCAAGATTTGCTTGTCTTTCACATTTTCTGTAATTTCAATCGTCCTTGCGTTACTGGATTTAATTTGATTTCTCTCCAGTTTGTCATTATCCTCCGAATCGATTTTCTGCACGGTTGGTGAAGCCGACATATTGGCTCTTTTCTGAATTTTTAAAGATAATTTCGGAACTGCTTGCGACGTTACCGGCAATTTGGTTGATTGCCTCTTCGACGACATGTCATTAAAATTTATTTTAATGGGGCTTAATGTTACAGTATTTGTCGACAGCGTGTTTTTTCGTTGTTTTAGAATGGGTATTTTTGACGGCAAAGATGTTTTAAGTTTTAAATTATCCTTCTCCGCTGAAAGTGTTTTTATTAGAATTTTATCATTATTCGGGGTTTCAATTTTGTGATTTATCTTTTTTACTGTTTGATTTTCAGAAACCTCTGCTTTTATATTTTTTGAGCTACCCAAGTTTTTATTTTGGACATCTTCAATATTTTTATTTTTAGAATATTCAAGCCTCTTTTTAGAATTTTCCGATTTATTTCCGTTATATTTTTTAACAATAGACGATTTAGTTTGCGGCTCGGAATTGGTTATTGACGCGTTATTGACTATCGACATCTTTTCTGCACCGGACGTACAAACTTTTTTATTATCATTTACTTTGATATCCCCTGCAATTTTTTGCATGCTAGTATTATGTAATGTTTGTTTAACTGTCTTGACCGTTATTTTCCCAACGAATTTACTTTTACTTTTACTCGCGATACACGTGGATTTCAAAGGTTCTTTAATGCGCGACTCATTAGACTGCGCTAATCGATTCGACCTTTTAGTGATCTCGCTAGCAGTTACTTTCGCTTTTGTAACGGTCGTATTATTCGGACTTGTGCTTTTCGGCGTTAAATTTTTTCTCGATAAACTACCCGATTTTCTTATTACCTTAACCGGAGATTTTCTTCGAACGACTTTTTTCACGGGCGATCTCGATCGATGTTTCACGACAGGTTTTGCGATTACAAGGCTTTTGCAAGGTTGATTTACTCGTTCTATATTTTTATCTATCTCGTTACTCGGTAATTCTAACGATATCAGTTCAACCGGTTCGTTACGTGTAACAATTGAAAATTTATTTCCGGACGAATTGATCGTACCTCTCGCATTTCTTATGTCGATTGTATCAACACTTTCGAACTGGTCCACCTCGCGTTCGACGATATTCGCGATATTTTTTATCGGCGCGCAATCGTTTACCGTTGTTATCGGCGATTCCGATATTTTTATCTCAAAGGTGTCAGGTATTCCGGGCGTCACGTCGCTGACATTCGCTATAATAGGATCCGAGAAAGAGTCTTCGTAGACTGCCGAAGCGATATTTCTCTCCTCGGTCTCCCCCGCGAAGAATGTATTGAGATTTTTAAGCGCATGTAAAATATTTCTTGTCGTTGAATCTGACGTTTGTGCGTCTTGTTTCTTGTCATCGTGAGATTGAGAAACCTCGCCTCTAAGATGAAGTTCCTCGTCACGATCGATAGGACACGAAATGTTTTTTTTCATTTCTAAGGGAGAAATATGTTCGGCAGGTAAACGCGGAAACGTATTATCTGCTATGTTATTAGTTATTAATTCGAATCGATTGCGTACATTTTCGTCGGAAGGCTCATTAATTCTCGCAACGTTTTCATTAATGGCAGATTTTGAATTTTGGAGAACAGATACTACACCGTTATTCTCTGAAATTTCGATGTCTTTTGGAGTTTCGGATTTATCCGAGATACTTAATATTTCGAGACACGGGATATTTTTTATAAGAGAAGTATTAACTTCGTCATTTTTTGCGATAGAGCGTGATATTACATCTGCTTGCGTTAAATGATTAGAGGAAGTTATCTCTTGATTATTTGTTGGGGTGAATAATTTATCTCCATCTGCAGAATCTCGTGGATTTATTAAAGATTGAATGTCCGATGTTCGTTCGATCATCGAACTGTCAGATTTTGCCGAGACAAATGTAATTTTCTTCCCCCGATCAGACGAATTATTTAAATTCACTTCCGTAGGGTGTGAAGATGTTAATGGTGGTAGAATGCTTTCATCGATTCGCGATTGAATAATGGATAAATTATCGGTCGTATTTTGCTCAACGAGCACGTTTTCTTTCAACGTAGTTTCATTTTTACCGTCGTTCGTGGGAGTGTGATATGTGACCAAAATTGTCTGTTCTACTTTTTCCGAAACGTGCACCGCATTTTTTGAGACGATCGGCTTTGTATCACTTTTATCGTGACGCAGTGTCGTTTCGTGATTATCGAATATTTCGGCGGACGATAATTTAACGTCGAGAGAACGGTCGGATACTTTTGCGGGGGATGAAGTCGACAAGATTGGCGAGATTGAAACATGCGCGTGAGATAAATCATTTAATTGCTGCTCTTGTTTGTTAATATCTTGTTTATTTGTCGACTGCGAATTAGTTGTGTTTATTATTACTTCGTACGAAACGGATGAATGGTCAGTGTTAGAATTATGAGCGATCGGATGTTTTTGTGAAATATTTGTTTCCGTCGTTACTTGAAAAACAGACTTTTCCAGACTGTTACGGTTATTTATAGAAGCCGATGAACTTTTATCTTGCAACGGGGCACTTTTTGAGAATGGATCAATGACTGTGTTATCAGCGAGAAGCTTTTCATGAAGCGTAACGGAAGAGTTCTTCGCTTCCTTTGATAATAATGACGCGTCAGCCGATGCATCGCCGGATGCGATCGTAAGCTCGAGATATTTCTGGACGATTGATTGATCATGCGTTGAAGATGCTGTTAACGATTGCACATGAGAACTCGATGATTCACCTGAATGCATTTCCTCGGCTGAACTTTCCTTCGATACGGTTTCGCCTCCGACAGATTTTTCTTGATTGTTATTTCTCGCAGGCTCGTCGACTATCTCTAAAGAATTCTTACGTGAATATATTTTCCTCGCGACGTCCGTCCGCGGCGCTTCGACTATTCCTACACTCGACGTGGCCGCATCACTCATAGTCGGCGTTTCTTTGGGAATGTCTTTGTCCATTGGGTTCACCGAATCGGAGACCGTTTCAGATGTCAGATTCGTTGCGATGTTAGTTTGCGAAATGTTAGACTCGTCCGTGTCTGTACGTACCGATCTGACATCCTGATGTTGCTGTTTAATGTCTGGAACGCTCGACCGGGGCTTTGCCATCCGAGAATCCGAGAACTTAGGTCTAGCGATATCCTTATCGATAATTTTCCTGGTCTTTAATTTTTCAGGACCTTTCTCCGGATGTTTATCTTCTCCCGAGCCGTCCTTCTCCCGAAGCGGTTGCGATTTAGTCTCATTTTCAGGCTTCACGTTTACGGAGATTTGTTCGGGCTTCTTTTCATCAGCGTTATCCCTTGGTGCAATATTTGTTGTCGATTTCCGAAGAGTGTCGTCATTCGTCCTATCGATAATTTCGGCCTCAGGCACGTCGATTTTTGGACTTTCGGCCTTCAGACTGTTTAAAGTATTCAATTGGTTCATAAGTTGCACGTTGGAAGTTAGATTGGCGGCCTCTCCCTTGCCGGACGACAGCGTTTGCATCGCTGTTATGAACGGCGTCAGAAACTGCTCCGGCAGCGATTTCACGGCGGACAGCAGAGCTTCCACCGCCACGGTGTGCGCCTCACCCTTCTGCTTGGGAATTTCCCTTACGGGAACATGCTGATCAGATTGTCCCTGCGCGGAATCACTCTCGGATGCATCCACGTGTACCATCTCCGTTGCATTTGACGCGATTGTGGATTCGTCCCGCGATGACGTCCTCCTCCGTGATATATCCTCAGCTCGTTGGGGAACACTTGAAGTCTGAAAAGAGATTGGAAGTGCTCCGCTCAATTCCGCAGACTTCCCGAGAACTTCGACGAGTGACTCGCTATTCTCCGTCGTGATGCTCCGTCCCGCTATATCAGGAGGTAATTCTGGACCACTCGAAGTTTCCTGGCGCGTAGAAGAGGACTGACCCGATTCCCTATTATTCGTTGTGTCAAGCGCAGAAGTTCCGGGCGACGAGGATACTTCTTCACCCCCGGCGTTATTTGACGATAATCTTTCCTGTCCTCCCCTCGGTGAAGGTGCATCCGTAACTTTTGTCGCTGCTGCAGTTTTGTCGATCGATGTCGTTGAGGCACGCGTTTCTTTCGTCTCTTCGTGCAACTGCGCGCTTCGTTTCACCTCAACGTCGCAACTCTCTTCGCTCTTCTGACCAGCGGGTTTCGGCAGATCGGATTCGGTTATTCGCACAGTTTTGCCCGCGTCGATCGTCGACGACGTTTCTCCGATCGAACGTTCGGCATCGTCACTTTTTGAAGAATGTTCGGGCACGCGTGAAGAGTCCGTCGCACTTGCCTCTGCAAGATCATCGACTACGGGAATTGCGGGAATTTCTGTGGACAACGCGGCACCTACTTCGGCCAGGCCTTCCGACGGTTTCGTAGCATTCAACGAGTACTTTGAGTCGTCTCGCGAATCTACGATCGTCCGTTCGTGCCGCGTGATCGCAAGATCGCCCGGCTCCGCTACGGGCGCATGTTGTACGGCCCTTGGGACCAGATTTGCATCGATTAGAACAGTGCTATTCATATCATCAGAGCGATCGTACAGATTATCAGACTTATTATTACCCAATTTGTTCGGGGGATCTTTCTCGTGTCGCCAGTTATCGGTCAGTTCTCTGAGGGCCGCCAGTTGCTTTTGAAAGTCGGCCTGCAACGCCACGAAATGATCAACAATTGGTGACATTACCTGCTTCCGCGCCTCCGTATCGGACACATTCGGAATTTGTTCCATGCGAACCCCCGTCCCACCACCGACCGCACCCGCTGCGTCTGCAGCAGAGAGAAAAGTCGGTGCATGATCGATGACCTTTATTTTCTTTTTCTCGAGCAGAATATTAACTTCTTTGTAAACGCAATAATAAAATAACATAAACATAAGTAATAAAATAATTAATTGCTTTAACTGTTTTAATTTTTTTAAATTATATGTTCTTCTACTGTTTACAGAAAATAAACAGTTTTATTTTTAACGAATTATATAGTACGCAATAAACAATTATTATTTTTTATTAAAAATTGTATGTAAAATAAAATAAACAGAAAAGTTATATTATTTATATTAAAAATATTTATATATTTTTAAAATGTTGTGTAAATTATCGAATAATAAATATATATAGAAATAATGTTATTTATAAAATAATATTATAAAATAATATTAACGTATTTATAACGTATCAAAATATTAAGAAATTGGAAAGTTATGAGATTATCATGATCTCTCTGCATTTCGGAAGCATTTCGTCTACTGACCTTCATGCGGTGCAGCCTCCTCGTTTTCCACCCCAACCGGAGGACCCCAGATCCTCATTAAAAAAGGCTTGAGCTGATTCTTCTGCAATTCGAGTAGAGTGGCGTCCTCGACACCAGCGTTATTATCGAGAGCTCTGACAACATCTGCCAGCGCAAAATTTCCCTTTGCCATGATCTGTTCGGTCTATCAATTGAAAAAAAATGACAAAACAATATTGATCAAAGCGCGGATAAAATCCATCCAGAAGATTATTAGACTTTTTTCTTCACACGCACTTTCTGCTGCCTGCGTTGGATGGCGGTTGCGATCGCGCTCCACATGTCACCCTTGACAGCTCGAAGGGCCTCCTTTGCCTCGGCCGGCGAAAGCGTGCCGATACTATTCTCCTTTAACTCTTTGCCCTGCGCTGTCACCAAAACCTGCACAGTCTCCACCAGATGCGGCCACTGCGTCTGAAGCCACTCGATTGGATTCGACGCGCCCTGCGCCAACGCGACTTGAACGTCATCGGTCGTGAATCCCTGCTTTTCAGCTTCCCGTAGAAGTTCCACTATCTCCAATCCTTGGCGCGTCAACGTGGAGACTCCTTGGCTGGTACTGGGACCTGCCTCCATATATCTCGGTTGGCTGGGTTCCTGAAACCAAAAGCACCGGTGCCGGTTAACGGTAGTCTCGTGAAAAATCAAACAAAAAGCACGAGACTGCGGAGTCAGGGTCCGCTTTCATCAAACGGTGTTACTTGATCTACGACTAGTCACAATTGCAGGGATTCCGCCGTCACAGATTATGTTTAATCGTGTGCTGTTAAGTTGCGTGGCCTAAATTAATATCGGGAGCGGCTGCAGCTGTAAATGTATTATAATGCGAATAAGCGATGATAAATATACAACTAAGAGTAGTCTATTTAAGCGGTTGGATAATACTAATAAAATAAAAGTATCATCCTGCCTACGTTCACACCGAGGCTAATTATCGCGACGGTTGGATCGAGGATGGCGAGGTGTATATAACAGGAAATCCATCAAGGCTTAACTTCGTAAGCGAGTTTACCCTGGAACGATAATAGAGATGGGACGAATCGATGGAGTTTCTTCTGGTCCGCTCTCTGCTTCGCTGTCCGGTTATCAGTTGCTGAAGATACTGTTCCTGGAACACTCGTGGATATAAATCAGGGCTATTTACAAATCCGGTCTGCTCCTGAAACAGATACTCCTTCTTGTCTTTTTTACTAGAACGCACAAAGAACGCGATCGATTGCGTGCCAATACGAAGGATGCAACTTGTCTTCCCGCAACTTGTCTTGGAAATACTTTACTATTAATAATCGAGCAAAAATAATTTTTCAAATGCTACTATTCAATATTTGATCATATTTTAATTTATTCATCAAATTAGCCACAAACTTTCGCTCACCTCAGTGTCGCTATCGTCGTAATATAAGTAACTTTTCGACGTTGCCGCCGACGCGGATCTTCCTAGAGTCCCTTTTGCAGGGAGATAGTCATAAGTCTAGAAATATTTTAATATACAAAATTTATTTCACGTCTCTTTATTTATATAAATTATCTGTTTATATTATTTCTGTTTATATTTGTTCGTGAGAAATTTTATGACTAGAAATAATATCTTACTTAAGCAATTCTTACTTGAGTCGAGATACTCTGCGGCGGAGGAGATGTTCCCGTAGATATCGAATGGCTCTTCGATAGCTCTTCGATAGTTTTTCCTCGAATCTTTTCCTCACGTAACGCCTCATTCGTATCTGCCTTGGAAACATTCGCAGTTGAAGAAGACGTTAACGTTGAAGAGGATACTTCTAACGATAAGTTTTCATCGACTGGTAATATCACGTCTGGTGATTGTGATGACGCTTCTTTTATTTGTGAGGCTACAGTTGTGATCGTAGTTTTAGGATTCTCTATATAAGGATCATTGTCTGGAACGATTGTTTCTGAAAATCACAAATTTCCTTCATGATTTAGTGTGATTATAAATTATTCTGTTCTATAGTTAAATTATAATTGTAAAAATGTAAATTTGATGGATATTGATGATGTTTCTAATAATATAGTTTCGTGCATCATTATTTTCAAGGTCATCCAGAAATGTACATTCATGACATTTTTATTGTCTTTTCTTTTTTAAGATAAAGAATAAAGTTATAAAATACTCTCTTGGCAAATTTTGATATGTAAGATTTAAATGTTAATAATATATTATTTATATAAGATTTTTCTTTATCTAATCATATTTAATTAAAATCTGCTAATTTGTTAATTTGTATTAAATTTGTAACAACCACAAATAGACATATCCTATATATAAAATACATAGCATGCCTAGAATTAAAGAATATTAACACAAAAAAAATGTTAACACTGATATTAGTAATCTAATAGATTGCATCAACATCTAGTATTACAAAATAACATAAAATACAAAAATACATAAAATTTGATCAAGCGATTTTAAGGAAACAGATTCTAAATATTCAGATTCTAAATTTCTAATAAATTTTTTCTTATTATATAATTTTTCAGTTTGTACTAAATAAAATTGTTGCAGATATGTTTTAATGTCGTCGTCGAGCCAAATGCTTTTGGCAGTGATTTCCATTAATGGTCTGCCCCGGAATAAAGGAACATATGCCAAATGCACGCTCGTGCTTGAAACCGTCGCATCGCTTGAATGAATAATATAACGCCTAAGACATGAAGAGAAGATGACCAAATTTCAAATACGACTATGCATTTGGTACCGTTGTAACGTTGTACGAAAAACAGTTTCCATGTCTCTTTATTATTCATCCAAGAGAATACATCGAAGGTGGAGAAACAACCAGTTGTACGGCTTGTGACTGCCGCTTTACGGAAAAATAATAAAAAAAGACAAAAAGAAAGGAAAGAGAAAAAGAGAAAGAGAGTACAAATGTAATCCGGGTCATCCATGTTTCTGGACAGGAATACGCGGGTGGGCATCACATAAAATGAAAGCGTCACGTGTGACGTCACTTAGACAACTTGGTGCCGAAGGAAAAGCTGATTTTGCGCTTCGGTCTACCTTTATTCCTGACGGATCCGCTGTCGCCGCTCTCTTCGCTATTGGAGATCTTTAACAGATTGATCCGTTTTTCGGGACTAGGATTATCAACGTTGTTTGATGCCTCACTTTTCGATGCTTGTGGTTCGATTGGGCCGGCCACGGAGTCGCCGTTCAAAGTACTCGGTGGTAGAGCACTGCTCCTCGTCTTGCAGCAAACCACACAGACGCGATCGTTAATCTTGTTGATGAAGGTGCAATGCTCGCAGGCCCATTCCTCTTTCGGAATTTCCATCACGCCATCGGACGCGATTTTCTTGGATAACACACTTGTACCTTCGCCAGCGTCTTTGGACCTCGCTACCTTTGGCTCTTCGTGAGACTGAGCTTGTACCTGTTGCTGTTTCATCTCAGCGCTGTGTTGTCTCCTCTGTTGAGTTTCAGCAGCTCGTGTCGGATCTCTCAATTGTCGATCCTTTTCGATCGTTCGTTGACGATCCGTAATTTGAAGTTTATCCATCATTTCTGGTAGCTCCCTATTTTCCTTGTCTCCCTGTTTTTTTATCGATATTATTTCTTTAGAAGGTGTTTTTCTAAGATTTTGATTGTCGGATTCAAACGAGGATCTGCCGGAACTTCGTTTATTAGAAATCCGATCTGGATCGTTAAGAGTGTCCTTTCGCTGGAACGACTCTCTCTTCGCGAGGAGCTCGCGCTCCCGCGAGACGTCGCGTATTTGCTGTTCTCTCCTTGCCGAGCGTGACTCGACCTCGTCCATATTTACGCGATCTGAATGTCCTCCCTGAGAAGATTGTCTCTCCAGAAGGCGCGTTCTTTCTCCGGATGTTCTTTTCGGGGAGATTATATCGCGGGAAGGCGTCTTCCTCACCTGACCGTCGCTCTCGAAGGACGATCTACGAGAATCACGACGTGTAGAGGATCGTTCCAGATCGTCCAGCATTATGTCCCTTCGAAGGGACGACGCTCTCTTCAAGGCGTTTTCCACCCTCTCGAAATGATCCTCAGACGAGCTTGTAATTCGTGTTCGGCTCGGCGCGTTAACTTTTCGATCGGAAGACTCGTCGTCGGTACTTCGCCTTCGGCGGTCGCGATAAGCATCGTTTTGAACGCGAGGATCCAGCCGAGGATCAATCTTGGAAACTGAGCGATCCTCCTGGCTGCAACGCCGCCCAGAAGAGATAGTATTACTCTTCTGAAATTCGTCGTAGCTTCTCGGGGACGTCGAGTATCGTTTACTGGATGGACTCTCGGACCACTGGTCCTCGGTATTCATTACTCTCTCCTCGGACATTAATCTCCTGAAAGATCAAGACGTGAGCATTATCGCGAATATAAAATATACGTTTTTAAATATTAACAAAGCTAATTTTATTTCACAAAAGATTAAGATTCTAGAGAATTAATAAAGTAATTAATTGCTCTTAGAGAGATCGTTGAAGGCCAAGTTAAAGTTAATATTAATTTCCAAGTTTCGAAACACAAAGAGATTACGCAATATCGTCAAAAAGACGAACAATTACTCAACCAAAAGTTTCTTATTGTATCTGTACACATTTATTCATTCAAACTTTATGAAAATATATTTTTTTTAATCTCAGTTATAATTTAACATCTACAATAACTCTATGATAATTTTAATAATATCGATACCTTTTTAAATCTGAAATTTCAATTTATAAAAAAATTATAAAATTTCTCTAATTTTATTTTAATTTTCCCACTTACTCTCGTCGACCTCTGGATACGAGACTTCTGGTATCATCGTCGTGATAGCGTCGTATACTTCTGGAAACGCTGCCGCGTCTGCTTCTCGATCCTCGGGAAAATCTATCATCTACATCGGACTCGTCGGAATTCTCGGAACTCGCGTCTGATGGTGATCCGGGCGACCTTCTCGATCGTGATCTCGAGGCGTAAGATTTTCTCGATTTCAGGCTGGGGGACGGAGATGGCGGTCTCGATCTTCTGCTAGACTTGACACTTCTGGCCGGACTCTGCCCTCTGGAAAGAGATCCAGGATAATGCGGAGGTAGCATTTGCGTTGACGGATAGCCCATGGGATATCCCCACATGCTTGGATGATGCAGGCTCACGGTGGAGCCTCCCATCGATACGTCCCAGGAATTAGTAGTAGGTGGATACCACACTATCGGCACGCCGCCGGGTCCGAGATGTGCCATCGATTGTGCCTGAAAATGTTTTATAAAAGATTTAATTTAATTTTTAGTTTTGGTTGATATATATTTGCCTTCTTTGAAAAATAAATCAGGAAATAGGAAACAAATAACGATAGGGTCGATAACAAGAATGAAATTAATAAACACTTATTTGAGATATATTGAAAATACCTGATGCATTCCTGGACTCCACATGTGAGCCGAAGTCAAGTCGCAAACGCTAGCCGATTGTATCATGGTTCTAGGTAATGGCGGAGGTGGAAGTGGTGGTGCCAGTTTCGGACTGCCTACGCTGAGTGGTCTTCCGCTCAAAGTATCCCTTGTATCAGAGGACGGGTGTCGTCGTCTGCTTGCGTCTTGAGCCCTCATTACCTCCTGGTATTTTCTATATCTCTCCTAAAAATCCATAATTTGCTATTCTAGTTTTTAAAATAATGAATAATATTATCAAAAATAACTGAGACAACGGAAAAAAAATAACGTTCTAAAATTATTTAAAAAATTGTTAAAAGAAAGATAATTTCGTAAATATTAATATTAATAATTTCATGTATAGCTTTCAACAATTTATTTTAATTTTAACGAATAAAAATAAATTAAATTTTGAAGTTTAATCAATAAATAATTAAATTTATATAAATATTTATTATTTTGTCTTAGCTATTTAATAGAATTTAATTTAAAAAATTTTTTGTTCTTGAAGATTTAATATGATTTTGCATTATAACTTTTTACCTGTAGAGTTGTCATTTTGTCTGTTCCTGGAGTATCGTTGGATGGCGTATTTAAGATATTCGTAGATTTTGACGTTCTTGTGCTCGAATCCGGTGGTGATTTTACATCGGAAAAATTGCGTTTCAAACTTCCGACCTTGTTGAGCGAAGGGAATTGTGCAGATCCTTTGGCTAGCGCCGATTTAGCCTAAGCGCGAAACTTTGACTTAATTACATATCGTGAAGGGAACAGCACTACGAAGTATGATGTCGAGAACTGTAAATGTTTGTTTGTGAAACTGCGCTGATATTGTTAATAAAAAAAAAAAACAACAGAAACTCCAAGATTAAATAGCCATAACTGTGGCGATATGTAAAATTTCTCCTTTAAAAAGGAGTCTTTTAAAGAAAACGTGGTCTTAAAAAAAACAAATAAATAAAACAAATAAATAAATAAATACAAGCTATCTTATCTCTAAACATGTGCCGAAAAAAATGTCACAGATCAAAATCTCATAAGTAGCACGCCATTAAGAAAAAAAAATTATCTGTCATTTTATGAGTGTGGCAGGTTCAAGTAGCTGGATGGATAGACTATGCTGAAAAAAAAGGTGGGATACCGAACGTAAAACTAAACCATGGTGATACCTGTAACGGTACGGGAAATACGGAGTGGTACGTTGTCGATGGAAGATTATGATCGTGTGCGAAAATGATCGTGTTCACCGTGTTCACCGTAGCCTGCCATATTCACCACTCCACAGAGAGATCATCCGCGGTAAAAACGATTCGATTACACGATACGACAAATGCCCGACATTACGACGGCGCCGACGCGCTACGTTCGTCTTTTCCGCGTCATTAGATCAGCGACAGAACTGGAAGAGAGAACGGGTTCAGTGAATACGGCATCAGTGTCTTGCGGTAACATGGTGTATTAAAAAGCAACGACAACAAGTACAATAAAATCTGTACGTAAGATAGAATCTGGATGTAGAACAATGTCAACGATCATTTAAAGCTCGCAAGGGCAGTAGCACTTAAGAACACTCTCGGGCCGCCTCGGTGTGACGTTTCAAGTTAAAGCTAACGTCGTTAAACGTCGTTTAACGTCGGGAAAGAGTCAGCATTCGGCGATCTCGACTTCGTGAACACTCGGCGCGACGGAGACGAGGCCGGATTTGGCGATAAACAGCTCTCGTAACCCGGAGTTAGTCATCGATCCAATCGTTGGCAATCGTCGCCAAGAAACGGACACTTGATCGCGAAAAATTCACTGGCCGCGCGGTGCAACCTGATCTCCATCGAGCTCGAGTAATCCCGAAGTAATCCTAGGGCAAGCGGACGCTGAGGAACACCGAAGACTCATACGGTCGACGATTGGCGTCGGAGCCTGGAAGAAGATTCACGAGCAGTCACAGGTTTCAGGCCAGGACACAGCCTACCTGAGTGGTCTTGCGATTCCTTCGCGGTGGTGGCACTGGCGGAGGGTTCAACAGGTTCTCTCCCTTCGGCGGAAGCGGCGGTCTGCTTCTACTCGCGTTGTCAGTCAGGATCCGTCTGCGGACGTGGTTCTTCCGCTTTGGGTGCTTGTGATTCATGTCATCGCAGGCCTCGCAGTAGTTCTCGTTGCACGTGTCGCAACGAGCAAACACGTTCTGGGTGCCGCATAGAGCGCACTTACCAGCGTTCGATTGGGACGCTGAGGATTTCTGGGCTTGCGGTCGGGTCGGAAACTCGATGATCTCGTAATCGGGGTCACCACAGTCCCCAGAGAGCGACGGTGGCGGGATCTTCGGCGGCGTCGGGGGTCGGCGTTGTTGTTGCTCTGCTTCCCGCTGCTGCTGTTGCGCCTTTTATTAATTAAAAAAAATGTGTTTATTTAAAAAATCGTATCAATATAATAAATTAATATATATTTATCGATCATATAATAAAATATTACAAAATAAACCTTTTTAATGAATACATATCACCCTTTCTTTATTTTTCAATGACAATTATAAGTTTGAATTAAAAAGAATTAATTTTAATCAAGATCAACAATTAAAAATACAACAATTAAAAATACAAAGAATTAATTTTAATCAAGATCAACAATTAAAAATACACAGTATAATTGAGAAAGGAACCTACCATGACCCAATGGGGCATGGATCTCGCCATTCGTAACTTGGTGGACGGATTCGATATGGCCATCGGTCGCCATTTTTCAGCTCCCGGGTTCTATGCAATAACAGAGTTTCGTTAGTAATTTCAAAATTCTTTATTTATTTTAAACGCATAAGAGATATTGTTATGATCTCTATAATGTTCATTATTCAAAATGTTGTACTTATAACAATCTCTTGTACGAAATTCTGTTTTGTTATTTTACATGCAAGATATTAATTAAGTTATTAAGTTATTATAAATAATAATATTATTATAAATAATAATATTAATATTTTGTAAGGAACTAAATTCTCAAAAACCTAAGCAACTTCGAATCTCTGGCAGTTTTTTATCATCATAACAAGGTGCCAAATGTAGATTGATGTCATCGCACCTTGAGCTCGCACATGCGAGGCCCAAATAATTTCGACCGCATAGTTAAGATTTACAAGTGGATACCGTCGCGGGAAAGTGTGACGTCAGAACGATGATCCATCGCCGGAAGCTGGACCGACCAGATCTATTTTTGCAGCCGAGAAAAAGCGTGTTCCGTGTCTAGAAATAAAGACGAGCCGCGTGGCGCGCGACACTATTTTTTCACAGCGTGGTGACACCGGCGCTGTGAAATCTTACTTATTCCTACGTAAAGTATCAGATATGTAACAAATTTAAATTTGACTCTGATATATTTTAAGTCACGTTTTTAGATGAAACTTAATTGATAAAAGGCGAACGAATAAAACAAAATCCGGTATCCGGGAATATTTTATATTCATTATAGGTCTCACGTTCTTAGTTGCCCGCCTCGTTATATCCTTTTATAGAATCTCACGAACTTGTCGAGACATTCTATTAATTGACATTTATATGACGTTATCCAAAATAAAATAACGAAATAAATTGACAAATATAACTATACCGTGAAAACTTTTCGTTCGAGAGGCGCGACAAAACGAGAGTTAGTTTCTTGAATTAGAACCATTCGTATCTTTAGAACATTCACTCTTCTGTTATTTTTGTAGCATAGAACAGAAACTTTTTTCTATTTTTCTTTCTATTTTATGCGACAGGGAGAAATTTATGGAATATGTACGAGATATGTATCAATTACAATTCATAATTTTCTCATTAAAAATTTATGGCATAGCATTATGACAATAAAAGAGCGTAAACTATTTAATTTATTCTTTTTTTTAATGTAATTGAATAACAATATTTAAATAACAATATATATAGCATTTATTACCTATTCTTCTATTTATTTCCTATCAAAATCCTTTTTCTTTGCATTTTTCTCTTTCTGTCCGCAAGTATTCTGTCTCATAGTCGTGAGGACAGGATAAAAAAAGAACCAGAAATGCAAATCGAGGATACATCGCAAAACTATTTCTCGTTGAGATTGCATACGTTGAGTGTGCAAGTTGGAAATCATCCAACTTCTAGCTTATCCAAGAGAATTTCTGTCCGCGAACTTCTTTCACGCTCAGACACGTCTCGCATTTTATTAGCGTTCGGAGTTTAGAGAGTTAAGCTGCTAGACCAGTCAGACGTAATTTGAAGATCCGTTTATGCTTTCGTCACACCTCCGACAGTGATGCGCGATATCACATGGTTGCGGAATAATTAGACAATGGTTAGTACGCGAGGCGCGATCCGGTAAGGGATCTCGAACCGGAAGTAACTGTCACAATCGAAGCGCGGAGTTACAAGTTACAGATAACACGTACGCGCTAATTCGCAAGCCTAGCTTTCCGCGTAACAGTAGTGTGAGAAACAGGTCCTGCTTTATCTTTCGTTACGTTATTCGCAATAGTCGCTGGTACCCGCATAGGGAGGATGTCTGCGGCGTTACGAGACTGACAAAAAGCGACTGCGAGGCAACGACGCGGCCTTTATATGTAACGCGATAAATTATCCACAAGATAAATATTTTCCTCGTTCTTTTTAATAAAATTAATACATTTAAAAATTGGACAATTTAAAATAAATTTCAGATTTTTTATATATATATATATATATATATTAA